AATTCTTCTCACTGCAGTGAATCTTGAAACAAAGTGGTGCATTCATGAGTTTCACAGATGTCATGTTGATGTTTTTCTTCAAGTAACCGTTTTGTTTCAAGTGGACTTTTTGTGGAATGGGCGCGCGGGAGCGCGGGCGGACGGCCGTTGCTTCCACCATTTGCCTCGGTCACGGCAGACCTCAGCTTTCTCAGTGCTCATTGCAGTTTCTTTGTGTTATTTGCAGTTTTGCTTGTGGATGGTTTGCTTGTTTTACCTGGCTGCTCTACGGCTAATTAATTTGGGGTATCATGGCTGACATCAATGGGCCTGACAGTGGTGAGTTGCATTTCCTTTGGATCTGATGCACATGATCGCGATCCCCAACTTGGACAACATGACAGTGTTTCTTTTGGTAGCAACTCCCCATGTAGATATCCCGAAAATTGGACACCATGTTCGCCAACTGATCCAGGTGATGTTTTCGCGGGTTCTGCAGAAGCGGTCAATGGCGCAACTGCTTCTGCCAGTTCAGAGCGCTGGGAGGAGAAGAGGTCGCCAGTGGTGTCGGCTTCACAGCATGATGCGTTGTTTGCACGGTGCCTTCTTTCAAATTGTGATTTCAGTGGTATCAAGATGCCTTGGGAGGTTGGTATTTCTAAGGACATTTTTGAAGACGGTCCCTTGCCGCAGCAGCTTGTTCCGTCAATGGAAATCAGTTCAGACTGTTCTTTTCCATTTGGGGTTGAACCTCAACTTGTTGCAGAGAGAGTTGCAGATGTTGCCAAGACTTCTTCATCATGTCCTGTTTTCTCAACATGTGTCTCGAGTGCCGATGGAGAGCTCTATGAAGAGCGTCGTGCAAACCTCAGAGAGGCTGCAATTGGAAAGCTTCTCATCGTCTTACGACATTGTTTGCTTGCCAGTGTTACAGGCCGTCACATCATAGCCCTTGGCAGTGTTGAGTTGCAGACCGCTGGAGCCAGGGACATCGTTGATGCGGTGGTGGGTGTCAGGTCACCCGCTACACTGGTTAAGAGGGCAAACTCCCTCCTCTCCTTCCTGAGGTGGGTTGCGAAGACTTGCAATGATGTTGTTAACCCTTTTGAAGAGGAAACCTTGTGGAAATATTTTCAGTTTTTGAGAGATGTTGGTGCACCTGCCACGCGTGCCGATTCCACATTGTCTGCATTGCGCTTTGCACACTTTGTTTTAGGTTTTGACAGTTTGGCAGGGGCAGTCTCAAGTAGAAGGCTGATTGGCATTTCCGAAATCATGCTTGCAGGGAAGCGATTGTTGAAACAGGCTGCAGTCCTTACTGTTGCACAGGTTCGTGGTTTACATGCTGCACTTGTCAACAAAAACTTGCACATCATGGACAGGGCTGTGGTTGGAGCTATTTTGATTGGGCTCTACAGCCGGTGTCGCAACAGTGATTTGCAGTCCATACATTCTTTCGAGACTGACTTTGGACCTGATGGAGGTTTCATCACAATTGAAACATGCAATCACAAAGCAGGGCGTCTTGCGGCATTGAAGACCAGGTTACTTCCAATTTTGATACCCGCTCGTGGTGTCAATGGCGATGTATGGGTCAAAGATGTTGTGCAAGTTTTCAATGATGCTGGAGTGAACTTGACAAACCCAATCAATGGGCCACTCCTGCCAGCGCCTGCAGGTGAGGCGGGCACTTTCATGAACCGAGGGTTGAGGTCATCAGAAGTTTCAGCATTGTTGAGAAGGTTTGTTGGTGCAGACGAACCTGGTTCTACGGGTGAGGTGCCCGTGGTGTCCAGTCACAGTTTAAAGGTCACGACACTGTCCTGGGCAGCACGTTTTTGGCCTCAGCCCTGCAGTACGGTCCTTGCTGGGTCGTCATTCGTCTTGCTTGAATGAAACATTTGCAGTGTATTCAAGGGACCTCTTGGTGGGACCAGTGGCGGAGCTGCAGCGAGTGATTGATGCAATTGCCAATGATGAATTTTTTCCTGATCTGCAGAGGTCTTGCTTTTTCAGGGCGGCAGCTCACTCTCAAGATGTTGGCGTGGCTCTTGGTGAGAACTCGGTTTTTGCAGCAGGTGAGAGTTTTGACGAATGTTTGGTCAAGACAGAGACCCAGTGCGGAGTGGCTGGGCCGGATGCCGTTTCAGTTGCATCATCACCAGATGGTACTGCATTGGAGCCTGAGAAGAGCGTGGAGGATGCAGGGTCATCAGACTCCACATCGAACGACAGTGAACAGCTGTCTTCAGATGATTCAGATACAGCTGAGCCACCTCCAAAGGTTAAGCGATTCAGGGCACGGATTCCAACAGATGAGAAGTGGTATGTCCACTCCAGGTCGCATTTGATCCATCGTTACGATGGGGATTGTCACAATGAGATTCGCTTCCTGGTGTGTGGAAAGAGACTGAACGACTCGTACAAGATGTGTACGGAAGCAAGCGCATGGAATGTCCTGTGCAAGTCTTGCAATAGAAGGTGATGAGACCTCCGACCTGTGCAGGTCTTGAATTTTGTGAGTGGTGTGGCAAAAAGCTGTCAGTTGCAGCTTGACCTGACGTGACATTGTGAGCCAACATTTTTTTTTGAACCATCAATTGTCATGTGGTTTACTGCTTGCACGAAGTCTCCCATGTTGGGCATACCGCCCGTCGGTGGAAATGTACCCACCGTGATGTCTTGGTTCAAGGAATTTATTGCATGGAACTACCACTGTTTTCCTTGTGTTTTCCTTGCATGTCACATGGTCATATTGTTATTCACGTCGCTTCGCGACGGCAACCGCCCGCACCGCATCGTTGTTCTCACACCTCCGCGACCGCTCGTAACTGCCAATGATGTCGGCCAGTGAGACCAAAAACATTCGAAAGTACTGATTGTCGGGAAAAAAACGCGAAGAATTTGATAGCCATGTATAGCGGACCAACGCAGTTCAAAAAATAACGAAAAACATGAAAAAACGGCGAAATTGCTGTTATTTACAGTGTTTTTGCGCGGTGAGAAGCAGAAACCACTGCAAATACCATGGTTTTTGAGGGTCAGGTGGCCAAAAACACTGTAATTTACAGTGTTTTTTTAACCAACGTCAAAAAACACTGGTATTTACGATGTTTTCATTCACACCGTAACATAAAACAGCGTAATTTACGAGGTTTTTGGAAGTTTTGAAGCTAGCCGTCAAGCATGCAGAAAACAGAAAAACACTGTAAAAACCAGTGTTTCTGCTATCACAAAACGACGAAAATCAGTCCGAAAACGGGTCCAAAAACTCAAAAATCCGCCTCCGGGCCCGGCCACCTGCGGAACCGCAAAAAAAGATGTTGCAAACCAAAAAATTGAGGTCAAAAAGTTGAAAAACACGGTTTTTTTTCACTTTTCGCTTGCCGATTTTGGACGGGCGCGTTCACGAACAGGTGTCTTCCGTACTGTTTTTTACAGTGTTTTTTGAAGGCGAGCGTCACGACCTATCAAAAACAGGAGGTTTTGGCCGCAAAATGCCACCCCCCCCCAGGTAAACCTGTAACCTTTTACGAGTGCCATCCGGAAGATCACGCCCCATGGTCATATTGTTATTTTTGCACATCACATGAGTAACCACTAACATGACAACTCAGAAACTTTTTCTTTGCAGAAGCCCCGCTCCTCGTTGGGTACTCGCGTAGCGATGACCTCCATCGTGGATTCTGAGGCTCAATTCAATCTGAGACTCGAGCAGGTTCGCGTTCCTCAGACCCTCCAAGTTGCCTTGAAGAACTGGAGTTACAACAATTTCCTCTTTGGCCTATGCTCATGGACAACCAGGGCAACCAATTGTGGCGGATGAGTTTGCGGCTTGGGTTAGACAAATAGAGCCAGGTGCCACAATCGGGGCTGTGTCATCCCCCAAGCGCCTGCTATTTGAAAGTCAAACTCAGTTGCTGGCAATGTTCAAAGAGCAGATCACAAACCCGGAGCCAACAGTTGCAAGAAAGGTGCCCCAGGCGGAGCGTGAAGCTCGACTGGCAAACTTGAGGAACAGACTCGTCGGAGTCCTCATCGAAGGACATGCAGAGCCTTGCCATGCTCTCCTCGATGCAGCGACACAATTGTATGACCAGAACATCCTACGCTACATTCCTTTGGAGAAATGTTTCAGTTGCCTGACTGAGTTGTCAGCAGACCAAGTTGCTCGAAGTCGAGGCTTCGAAGGTGGTAGTGAAAGACAAGGATGCTGAGATCGAAGCTAGCGTCCAGTCTTCGTATCAGCTGTTGGAAGCCTTGAAACGTCGTGGGTTGGCTTTGGATTTCGCAGGGGTCATGTCATTTACCCGACATGACCGATATGTGCAATTGTTGTTCTCACACCTCAATAGAGACCCGCCGGCGGGGTACAATCGATGTAGCGTGTCCCAACTCATATCTGCGGATCGTGCTGCATGGTGCTCCCTCATTGAAAAGAATGTGAAACCGAGACCTGACCTGGCAGGTGTTTTGGCCTTAGACACGGAGTTGGAAGAATCTCTGAAGACCTATGAAGTGAGTTTTGCACTCCTACCACTCATGTCCAAATCGCAGCCAAAGGCATCGCCCTCACATGGTGATGCGACTGGCGGTAACAGAGGCCAACCCCAGCCTTCGCCCTCCAAAGGAGGTAAGAAGGGTCAGTCAAGGTACCGCCCTTACCAGTCAAAGGGTAAGGGCCGGCAAAACCAAGTCAAAATTTGAGCAAAGAATCCCGAAAGAAATCAGGGATGCCGGAGGCACCGCTACCACACCCGACGGAGCACCAATCTGTTTCGATTTTGCCTTCAAGAGATGCCGTGAAACAGTCGCCGAGGGTTCCCGCTGCAAAAAGGGATACCGTCTGTGTTGCATTTGCTATGGGCCTCACTCCATGGCTGACCATAAGAAGCATTGACTAGACTCGAAGCATGGCCCTCTCAAACGCAAATTTTCCCAATGTACAGAAGCCGCATTTGAGAGAGAGCCACATACTGTGCCCAAACAAGACCTTGATGGTAAATTTTCCGAATGCACAACGACTCATTTGCCAAGGGAATCTAATAAGACTGTTCTACAGGAGAAGCCTGTTAACCCAATTCAACCATCTCTGGACATGCAACAGGCCTCTAGCGACAACAATCCCACACAAGCAGACAGCAGCTTGCCCAAAGATCCATTCATAATTGAGCTTTGTGCAGGTTCAGCCGTTCAGCCCGTGTTACTTCATGTTTACAGCACCTTGGCATGCCTTCCTCCTTCGGCGTCGACCACGTTAAGCAACAAAACTCAGGGCGTGTCTTGATTGCCAACATGACCACTAAGGCTGGAAAGGACCTATGCTGGACATGGTTGAAATCAGAGAACCGTGAGGAGTGTTCATTGCACCTCCATGCGGAACGTGTAGCAGAGCCAGGGGCATCCCCATAAAGCTGCCTAATGGGTTTCTCATAGCAGGGCCACAGCCGTTACGCACTGATGGGCAGCCAAATGGGGTCACCGGCCTCAGCTATGTGAACAAACTGCGTGTATCCCAGGCCAATGCTATTTACCATTTTGTGACGGAAATTGCACTCTTTTGCCTTGACCGTGGTATGATAGTGTGCATTGAAAACCCCAGGTCGTCTATCTATTGGCGCACCACCTTCTTTGCCCCGCTTGCCAAAAATCTTAAATTCACTGCCCACCAAGCATGTGCCTATGGATCCAGCAGGCCCAAATGGATTGTCTTAGCCCATAATACCACCGCGTTGCTCCAACTTAATCGGGCCTGCCCTGGCGTGAGCAAAAACCATGTGCATAAGCCCTGGGGCGTTGTGAAAGGCCCAGACGGACAAAAGTTTTCTACTGCTGAAGAAACTGCCTATCCACTGCCGTTAGCTTACCACATTGCTTACTACCTGGCTCAGGAACTGATCTTGAAAGGTTGGCAACCGCCATCCGATGCTTTTTCACCGCCTGATGAAGTTTCGTATCAGTACCTTAGGTCCATTGTTGGGGTCCAGCCCAAATCGACTAAGATAGCCCCCTTGGTTTCGGAGTTCCAATATGTGCTAGCTATCCATGTCCCGGCAAATTCTCCTGTCCCGATCCTTCCAGGCGAAAAGCTGCACGCCGCCTGGCGTGGAGTTCCTTCGGGTTCCTGCCTCTTGAAGCGTCCACCATTGCGGTTAAAAGGGGGTAGTGGGGAGAATAACCAAAATAACCCGAGTAATTGCCTTGGGGCTAATAATGTCCACCCCGATAGTCCCTGTGATAATAGCCCCTTAAACAATGTCTTGCATTTTGGTGTTTACAGATCCGGAGCTCAGTTTGTAGCAGCAGCTGCAATTGCGGGACACCCTGCAGGGGGTGAAGCCAGATTGCCGAGTGCCCTTAGTGAAGCCATTCAATTTGTATCATGTCGCTCGGTTCATGAAGTTGCCCAGCACAGGCTGTCCACTTTGAAGTTTTGGCTGGCTCGTGGCAAATCGCTAGTTGCAGCAGAAAAGGATTTGCATGACTCATTGCACCCTTCAATCAAGGGCATCTTGGCCCCGAAGAGACTCCTCCTGTGGAAGGAGATGCTTGCGTTTTATCACTACCCAGACCTCGGAGTGTTTGATGAAGTGGTTTCAGGGGTATGCCTTTCAGGGCCAGCGCCGACGGTCCCCTTCTTCGAACCTAGCTTCAAGCCTGCAAAGATTACGGAAGGTGAACTGGCTGTGTCGGCTCGTGCATCACGAGTGGCGCTTTTGGCATCAGTGAGATCCTCCGGTGATCCGGAAATCGATAATGAGGTTTTCAATAAGACAATGGATGAAGTTGCTTGTGGGTGACTTGAAGGACCTTTGGATCTGAGCTCGCTGGGAGATGATGAGGTGGTCAGTCGGAGGTTTGGCATCCGGCAGACATCTGGTGACGTAGCAAAAATCCGCTTGATTGATGACTTCACTGCCTCGAATGTAAATCAGACGGTGCAGGTGGATAATGCGCCGAAGCTGCACACGCTTGACATTGTGGCGGCGCTCTGTATGGAATTGTTGAGGTTGCCTTGTGATGAAGCTTGGGTTGGAAAGACCATAGACCTTTCCTCGGCATATAGACAGCTTGGAATCTCGCCATCATCACGGTGGGTCTCGTACATAGCAGTTTATGACCCGTCATCAGGTGGTGCAAAGATATTTTCCATGAGAGCGCTCCCGTTCGGAGCCAGCAGATCGGTTTATGCATTCTTGCGAGTAGCTCACTCCCTCTGGTGGCTGGGTTGCACGGCAATGAAATTTCTCTGGAGCAGATTTTTCGATGACTTCATAACTCTGTCGCGTAAGAGCGAGGCTGATGCCATGTCAATTGCCTCGTCACAGTTTTTCCGCCTAGGCTGGCTGGTATCAGCTGGTGAAAAAGATTTACCCTTTTCTGAAACTTTCAAAGCCTTGGGAGTGGAGATCGATATTTCTACCTGGCGCAATGGCCTAGTAAAGTTCAGAAACACCACCAAACGCATCTCGGAGCTCAGTGACA